GGGGGCGCTCTGGTTAGGGAAGATGCCAGGCTTGCCGGGGGTGGGGTGCTCCAGTTAGGAGGTGGCCCTAGTTGGGCAGCCTCTCGGGTCACCCCAGCCTCCTGCAAGCCCCCCAGTTATGCACAGGGCGAGACTTTTCCTGCATATCAAGCAGCCTTCACTGAACAGCACCACGTAGACTGGCTTAGGCCACCCACTCCCCATAGCCAGACGTGTTTCTGCCATCCCCTGGGAGTTGAGAAAAGAAGCATAGACTGAAATTGGGGTTCTCTGGCCAGTCTTCACAACAGGAACTGGGGAGGCACTGAGTCAAAGGGTAATCTGGGCCTCACTCCTGTGAGGGTTCAATCTCGTGGAACATGAGACTCCAGGAAAATTCCACTAAGTGCACTGACGGTGCACTCAGCTGCAGAGGAGGCAGTGGACGATCCTAAGCACCAAAGAAGCCTTACCAGGTTTGGGGGGACAGCCTGAGTCAGCTCCTGACAGGCCGGGAACCCCAAGCTCTGTCTAGAGCCTCAGGACAGGACGGGAGGCTCAGGAGCGGTCTTCCTCCACAGCCTGCACAGCTCCACCAGCTTTCACCCGCACCTACTTCTCTGGCACCAGCCTTTCTCTCTCCACTCTTGCCTTGGGCCATAGTTTGCCCCTACTCTGAAACACTTTTATCTCAGGTATGTGTGGCTCACTTCTTGACAATCCTTGGGTCTTAAATACCTCTTCAGGGAAATGTCCCCTTGCCCCTATTTAAAAACAATACTGCACCCCAAAACTTCCTTGCTTTCTTTTACTCCATAGCATTCCACTGCCATATTGCCTGTCTGCCCCACTAGAATTTAAGTCCAAAAGGTAAGGGATTTTTGTTTTGTGTGCCCTAGTACCTGGAACAATGTTTGGCATGCAGGAGACAAAATATTTGTTGAAGAAATAGATGAGTTAAGATGTGAAAAAAAGTCCTTCATTAGGCAAAGACCGACTGTAAATGAATGTGTCAGAAGTAGGCGATGTTCCCATTCTGCACCATCAGCCCGACCCACCCTATGCTGGTATTATCGCCGACCAATGATGTTAGGTGCTCTTCTCAGCACATGATGTGTTACGTGTTGACTCAGTGACCATCAGGTCAGTCCTGGGAGATGGACGTCGTTTTCATCCAAATTCTGTAAGTAAGCAAACCAAAGCAGGGGTGTGCCTTCAAGGCCACACACTGTCTGGAGGCAGAGATGGGATTTGAAACAGGCAGAGTCGCAACTATGAGGCTACAGCTTCTAGTAGATGTTTCACAGGTTATCCTGCTTGTGGCATGCTTTGTGTTTTTGTCCAATATTCATCCTCTCCTTGTCCCACAAATAGTAAAGTTTTAGGGTACAGGGCTGCCTGTACAGTTCCAACTGTAAAGGGTGGCCAGTGGGATGTGTGCAAAAGTGATACAATTTACTTCTCAGCGTGTCCCCAAAAAAGTTGGAGGTTCAAGACCAGTAAGCTGGGTGATGGTGAAAATTGCAACAGCCATCCTGGGCCCAGGGGTGGAAACCTCGACTTGACTTGAGAATTACAGCTATGCCACCTCTGGACTGTTAAATGTACAAGAAATAAACTTCTATCATGTGGGACAGGGCGCTCGACCCATCTCCTCATAGTCCTATGAGCTTATTATAGATTAAGGTAACTGACACACGTAGCCAGAGTACCCCCTTCACCATACGGCAGAGCTGGGATTTGAACCCAAAGTCTTATCTTAACGCCACCGCCACCTCCAAGGTTTCCCAAAGCACGCCAGGGTCCCGGCCCCGCAGGGCGTTTACGGGCCCTCTGGAACGTCTGCAGAATGCCTCTTCGGGAAACGCTGCTCTCCCGTACCCTGACTTTTTATTTGCTCCCGGGTTCCTTGTGTCCTAGACAACAGTCCTTTGAAGTGTAGACCTCGGGAGCGGGCTTGTGTGTTCGCACTTGGATGGGAATCGAGAAGCAACATCCCTCAGAGCCAGACGTGGCAGTGGTGACGGCAGGGGCAGGAGACCTGAGGCCAAGGGTAAAGGAATTGGGGAAGCCTGCTCCCTCACCCCGACCGGATTTCGTCTGGCACACGAAGTCTAAACTGCGTTGCCTGTAGTGGTGGGTGCCAGACGGCTAGCCCAAGATGTGTGCTAACAAAATGGAACAGCGGTGGTCTTCTCCCTCTGTCACAAGGCCACTTAAGTTGATGCTGAGGCTCCAGACACGCAAGCCCGCCTCCGAGGGCAAATCCTGAAGCAGAACCGCGAGGCCAAGCGCCTGGCCCGGCCCTGGTTAACCGCCACGGACGATTCCCAAAGCTGGTTCTGCTCCCTGCCCGGATCGCTCCCCCAACCCCCCACCTTCCGGCCCAAGACGCCCGGAAGGAGGAGGGACCCAGAGCGGAAGGGTGTGGGGTGGGTGGGGGGAAAACGACGGCAAGGGGCGGGGCCGAGGAGAGGGGCCCATGAGGGGCGTGCCCCACAGGGAGAGGCGGGGCTGAAAGGGGCGTGCTCCGCAAGGGGCGTGTCGTGCATGGATGGGCTAGGCTAAGGGGCGTGCCCTATAGGGAGGGGAGGGGCTGAGAGGCTTTGGGACACCCACAAGAGCCACTACCCCAACAAGCACACACACTCGGCCGAGGAGGGCGTCCCACAGGCCACTGTGCCCAGCTCTACAAATGAAGCTTTTTATTTACACCAAGTTTCTCTAGGCCCCAACCCCCGGGGAGAGGCCGACTACAGGGGGGCTGCGGAGGCTGGTCGGGGCAGAAGCTGGTCCGGAGGCAGAGGCCGCAGGGAACGGCGGGCAGCGGCGGGTCCTGAGTGGGCCGGGCCAGGCCGGGAGCGAAGGCACGAGGCCCTGGGAGCCTAGTCCCAGGGCGTAGGTCCGCCCGTCCAGAGAAGGCGACATGGGGTCAGCTCCCTGGGGTCAGGCCAGGGTCCACACCGCCACAGCTCTGCTCATAGGATGGCGGGGCCTCTGCAGGGAGAGAGCCAGGTCTGCATGGGGCCCGTGGCTCCCCCTCCCTGCCAGGCCCCAGGCCCCCACTCACCATAGGGGTAGCCCCACGAGGTATACTCAGGCGGGAGGATCAAGGTACTGGTCGTGGGCACCGGCCCTCCAGAACCCTCTGCAAAGTAGGGCACGGTGGCACCTGTGGAGATGCACAAGGGAGGGGGCAACGGGTGGGGGGCAGGGCTACCATCCTGAGGATGGGGTTCAGGGGCCCCAGGCACAGAGTCGAGGGCTGCAGGCGGCTGCTGCTGCTGTGAGTGGCTCTTGGTGGAGAGGGAGACAGGGTCCGAGAAGAAGTGGGGGCCACCAGCCACAGCCTCCGCCTCCTCCTGGGGTGGCGCTGAGGGCACCACCAGGCCTTGGCCTGGCCGGGGGCTCAGTGGGACGTGGTTCACAGCGATGTTGCCGATGAAGACCGGGAGGGTCACGATAGCTTCCGGCGTCTTCAGGGAGACCTGGGGAGGTTATGCGAGTGAGGAGCCAGGCCACCGGCCCCTCCTCCCACCCCACCCCTGTATCCCTACCACCTGCAGGTAGTAGTCCACGTGGATGAGGCTGCAGCCCGGCAGGGCAGACTGGGGCAGGGCAGGCACCAGGATCTGCTCTTGCCACTGAGCCCGCCTCCAGGCCTTGACGCCGGCGCCCTCCACCTCGGCAATGGTCCGCACGTCATAAATCCAGCGCTTGGCCTTGTAGGACACTTTCTGGGGAAGGGCCAGCCTGTGAGCCTGGGCAGGCCAGCCACCTACCCCTCCTCTGCCCCATGGGGACAGGGCCCAGCAGGCGAGGGGACTCTGACCTGCAGCAGACTGGCCACCACAGGGCTGGTGTCCTTGCCTGACTGGTTCTCAATGTCAGCCTGCAGCCGCAGCACCTGCCCCACCACGTAGCCTCGGAGGTCGGTGCTGGCGGTGAGGACTACGCTGCCTGTCTTCACCAGCTTGTAGGAGAACTTCTTGGTGATGGAGGCCACATTGGGTTGCTTGGGAGAACAGAGAGGGAGTTTGGCAAGTGTGGGCAGGCGGGATCCTCGGGGTCAGCTCAGGACAGAGAGGCCGCTGCTGTTCCAGACCCTGGCCGTCTCACCTGTGCTGGGGACAGGGCGTCAGACAAGGGTGGGCCCACCCAGGAGGCCACTGTCCCAGGCTCACCTCGATGTCTGGGATGCTATTCAGGTTCAGGGGGCTCAAGATGTAGAACACGTGGCTGCACTGGTGATCCTTGGAAAAACGTGGTGTGTCGATGGTGGCCCGTACCTGGTGCACAATCTTCCCAAAAGGGCCCTCAAAGGACGTGGGAGCTGTGGCTGGAGAGAGAGCAGGGACTGGTACCTGACTGCCCCCCACCCCACCTCCCACCCACCCTCGCCAACTGCCACCACCTGGCCTGGCCAGGCTGGGCTCTCACCAGGAAGCAAGAACTGGAAGGGGAAGCTGTGCTCTCCAGCAGGCAGGCTCCCTGCAGAGACAGAAGGGAGGCAGAGGAGAGGGGACAAGGTGACCTCACAGGGTCCAGGACACAAGCAGGCCCTGCAGCCAACTAGCTCACACTGCATCTGGCTGCTGGGCTCCCAGCCTCTGTCTCCAGCACCTCAGCAGCACAGGGCTGTGGCCTGGGCAAAGGATGGGGGATGAGAGCTTGGCTTGAACAGGAGAGGGGGCAGGGCTGTTCCGGGGGCCAGAGCCCATCCAAATCCAGGAGAAGGTGGCCCTCTTCTGCCACCCAGCCCCCATCAGGCAATGCCCCGTGCCTGCCAGGGAGAGAAATCCAGCAAGGCGCACAGTCCTGGGAGAGGGTGGGCTAGCACGGGGATGCCAGAGGCGGATGGGGAAATCAGGTGGACAGACCCCACTCTCGCTGGGACGCGGTGAGGGAAGGGCGCCCAGACTCACCCTTGTCGGCCAGGGACAGAGCGCTGTTGAAATAGCCCTCCTCCGCCGCCCACGCCGTGTCGTTGGCCTTGCTGGAGACCTTGCAGGACCCCGTGCAGGCCACCCGGATAGCTGCAAGCGGGGGACAGCGTAAGCCCCAACCCGGCTGGCCTGGGCCCCTCCCTAGCCCCAGCACAAGCATTCAGGCAGGACGGGCAGCACCCAGGACCGCCCAGCTCGGCCCTGGGAAGGCCAGCACATGGCCTGCTACCCTCCAGAGCACACTTCCTGTCCGTGCCACATCTTCAGGTGCTCTCAGCGAGCCAGGGTGGCGAGGCACAGAGCTCCACCTGTCGTGCCATCCAGAACATGAAGGCCCTGACGGTCACCCAGATGACCCCTGGGCAAACCCCCATCCCCAGCCCCTGCCCAACCAGACCTGTGAAAACCCAGCTCCCTACAGCGGATGCTTGGGAAACCCTAGGTGAACAGAGGGGCAGCTGACATCCGACCCCACCTTCCTGCTGCCTCTCAGGCAAGTCAGTTAGACTGGGAGGCACCCCTCCAGGCTCCAGGAAGCTACCTATTAGCCCTCATGCTGCAGGAATGTGGTCAGACCCGCCTGAGCAGATAAGGAACCCAACAGTCTGGCACACCAGAGGGTGGGGACATCTTGGCTTCCTGGGCCAGTACTGCCCAGGAGCCCTGATTTCTGCATCGAGATGGCTTGGTCCTCCCCCACACTCCCCAGGGGAAGCACGCATACCAGGAACCAGGCAGCAGGGTTGCTGCCGCCTTCCGTCCTGTGATCAGGAACTCAAATTCCTCCGTCCAGAGCCCACTGCGGTCAGAAGGCCATGGCTGGACCAGGCCCAGCCGAGGCCGGTCACCAGAGAGGACACCACGGCTGGAGACCCAAACAGGGCAGGGGGTGGGAGCTCAGTGACAGGTAGCCCTGTGGCTCCCTCCATTCCTTCCTCTACCTGCGGGGCTGAGTCAAGGCCAAAGACTTTAGCCTGCCTGCCCAGCTGCCCGTCCTCCCCTGACCTGATGGACCGGTGAAGGGAAGGTAACTCGGAATCTGACACCCTCCTGACAAAGCCATCAGGCAGGAAGAATGCAGTGTCTCAAGTGCCCAGGGCCAGGGGCAGCCACACCAGGTCTGTCTGTGGTCTCCCCAGGCAGGCCCCACCTTGCTGATGCAGGCCTCCTGTTGGTCCCACAGTGCACTGGGCTGCCCTCCACGAACCCGTGACTCGGCCTCCGCCCCATCGGCACTGCCAGTGACCAGCCCTCAGCCTCCGTGCCAGCCCAGCCTCACCACCCGGACCTCGGCCCTAATTTCTAATCCACACTCCACCCGTCATCCCCTCCTAGGGCCAGACCTGGAACTGTTCCCACCCTGGAGGTCTGGGACACCAGCAGTGCTCCTACAGACCAACACATCCCAAGAGAGGCACGGCGTGGAACGAGCAGAGAAGGGGTAGCCTGACTGTAAAGTAACTAGAAGACGTCCTGGTGGACTGCAGGCATCACACTGCTGGAAACATTCCTCCTGGAAAGGGTGCGTCCCCCCTTGAATCCGGCTGCCCTGGGAATGCTGGGAACAATGGAGTGTGCTGGAAGGGGTGTGATGGTCCCCAGACTGGCCCAGTGACAGCTGAGCACTGTGAAGTGACCCCAGTGGATGGGACACGGAGCTGAAGAATCACCCTGCCGAGCTCTGCCCAAAATCCTAACCCACAACGGCACAAGTTATAATAAAATGATGGCTTTAAACAACTTAGTTTAGGCGTGATTTGTTTACTTAGAGGTGATTTTCACACAGCAGCAGATAAAGGAATAGCTGTCTAACCTCACTAGAATTCACGGAAACTCATGTGACTTACCATTTAACACATCAGATTGGCAAATATTAAACATTCTGATACGTGTCATAGAGAAGATAGAAAAACAGACACTTGCTTATAGCAAATCAACCTGTCGGCTGATACGATGGAGGCCCTGGAGAAGAAGCAGGCAAATCTGCTGTATTTTACACATGCGTTCCAGGGACCCAGCAGATCCCCTTAGAATCTCACCCTGTTCACCCTGTTCAACACTGCTCCTAATAGCAAACAATCTAGGCATAGCCTACGTGTCCAAAAGCAGGGTGGCTGAAACAGGCACACACTCAGCCAGGACCCAGCCATACAATTAAGGTGAACAAGCCAGGGTGGCACCCGGCCCCAGAAAAACAAACCGGCCCTCGAACTCTGTGAACTTCCCAATGACTGTGCACATATGCTGTGAGGCCCGTTCGGGGACCCTGCCTGGATGAACAGCCTCCAATCACCGACTGGAAACAAACTCCCATCCCTGTCCAATCTCTCCTCCGCAAGGGAATAATGGAGGCGCAGGGGGAACTGGAGGTTTGGGGCTGCTCCAGTTCTCTAAGGAGAATCATCATGTGGATCCTGTGCCAGAGTGGCTTCTGGAACTTTCCCCTTGAGCCTCACCTGTCCAGCAGCCCTCCTCCTATGTACCACCTGTAGTCTGAACATGAAGCCTTCTGCTTGCTCCCCGTCTGGTCCCAAGGGTGTGTCCCAGCCCCCATCAGCTCCCTCAAACCTGGGGCAGCCCAGCCTCTGCCACATCCTTTCACTGCAGCTCTGGCCTGCAAGCCACTTCCCTCTGTCCTGTTTCCAAATCTGTAACACGAGAGGAATGACAACACCCACCTCCCAGGGTTGCTATGAAGACTGATGGATTGGTCCTTGGGAAATGGGAATGGCATCTGGCCCACGGTGAGAGCCGGCAGAGCTGGGAGCTGGCTGCTACTGTTGTCCGGGCATCACCCTCCCTCGTCGCCCACCTCGAGAGCAGAACACAGGGCAGCCCCACCTGACCCCCAGCCTCCAGCTGGGCTGGACCCAGTCTCCAGATCCTTCTCCAGCTTTCTTCCACATAGCTCCCAAGGCAGCCGGTGTCCCCAAGGCTGAGTGCAGACCATCACTGACACTCCTCAGTCAAGTGTTCAGAGGCCTGCTGCCCCCCACCCTCCATGTCCTCCTGGGGGCCCCCCCTATTGCATCAATGGCTGGTAACAAGTGTCTTTTGAGGGAAAGGAAAAATAAGAACCATGGTGTTTCCTCTCTCACACCCCGGCAGGGCCGGAGGCCTACAGAGGCCCCAGCACCAGCATCCCCCCTACCCCTGGGGGGCAAACGGAAAATAATACCCTCTCTGGCGCGAGGCCAGTCGTTGCTGGACTCTCCAGCCTGTGACCTGACCTGCTTCTCCCCGCCTCAGGGCTCTTACAGTCAGGGACTCCCTCAGCCTCCTGGGGCCCCGCTGTCCATTTACCCACATCCTACCCACCACGTAGAGGCTGCAGGGCTCTAACCAGGCCAGGTTAGTCACGCACAGCTCAGGTCACCCCTTCACTGTGGTCAACAACAGCCTGTTCGCCCTGGGCCCCAGCTACAGGGGGTGACAGGTCAGCAGGCCAGGAGGAGAGCTCTGCGTGGGGTCTCTGTGGTGTCCGTCTGTCCTCCAGCCACGGCCCACCCCTCCTTCCTGTGCGCTGCCAGCCGCACTCACCTCTCACTGGTGCCCCAGAGCAGAGTTGCACTGTCCCCCCGGTGCCCCTGCCACAAGCACACCTACCCCCACCCAACCCCAAACTCCAACTGGGGAGACAGGAAAGAGGCGACACGTTACGGAGGTGGGCGGTGTCACCGGTCCGGGACGGAGGAGGCAGCTGCCCAGAGAGGACGGTGGCTCTGCATCCTCAGCGGGCACCCCAAGCGCTGAACGGTCAACCACACGGGGGCCTGGAAGGTCAAGGCCCAGAGGGAAGCCCAGCAGCTGTGGTTCTGGCCAAGCACCCCAAGGTAGAGAGGCGCCCCAGGACGGACACACCACACAACCTCACACTCAGAGCCGGGGTCAGGAGAGAGACCCCGCCTGGGCTGCGGTTCGCCCACGGCCCAGAGGGAACAGGTGTGATGTCCCCCGCAGGGTCCGGTTCACACCTCAGGCAGCAGACAGACGAGGCCAGCGCCGGCAGGGAGCCCTAGCTAGGGGCGCCGCAGCAACCGGATCCCCGGTCTCAAAGTCCCAGATGTCTGCGCCAGCAGAGGGACCGGCCAGGAGGGCTCAGGTTCGGCTCCCAGATGCCCACTACGGCGGCCTAGGGCACGCAGGGATTAGCAAGATCCTCCCAGCCCTTAGGGACTAGCCTCGGGCTGGGTGTAAGCAGTGCCCTGCAGCCCGCCCCCGGGGGACCCGCACACTCGGCGGTGCTGCCTGGGTGTATGGGAGAGAAAGCCCAGCGCGGGCCGGGCTCCAGGTGAGGGCCCAGCAGCTGCAGGGCGCAGCGGACCGGAGACCCGACAGGGAAGGTCAGAAGCGTCGCGGGTCCAGGTCAGAGTGGCCTTCGGCAAAGTAGACAGGCTCGAAGCCCGCGCCCCGAGTATGGACGGCCCTTGGCGGAGAGGACAGGAAAGGCAGATGCGGAAGGACTGGGCCACCCGGGCCTCCCTGCTCCGCCCCGACCGCCGCCGGCCTCCCACC